GATATTCCATGAACACATACATCTACTTCAATACAGAAGATAATGAAGTGATGCCTGAACTTGTCAGTGAATATCTGATGTTTATGACTCACAGACTGATATACCAACCCATTTGTTTTACAAAAAGAATACAGGTAGATGCAAGTCAGCTGATTTGGAAAGACATATATGACCAAATTCAAAGACAATGATTGACTTGAAAACCAGTCACCATCTGTTAATGAGTTTTTCTCCCTAAAAGAAAAGTAGAAATAAAAATTGTTGCCCAAGACGATACAGTGCCTTTGATTAGAGGGCAAAGGACCTCAATTCCAGTGGAATGCAATTTAAAATAAAAAAAAAGTTGAGTTGACAGCATCCAGCTCTCAGCTGGCAATCAATGGGTATAGAGGGAAATGAATTCAGGCTTTTGTTAGATTAACTGCTGGCCTTGTAAAACGGAAGCCACTGAGAAATTGCGCCAAGTTTGGGGTCCACTAAATCAGCCAGAAGTTTCTACCACTGAAGTCTCCCGAAAATGGTTGTCAGGGACAACAAGGCAGATAGCAGTTGCTGTCCGATGCCTACCTAGAGAGATGCTTCTCATTCAGGTGCCCACCCCAGCTCAGCTTCCCCCACGCCCGAGACAGAGTGGAACTTTTCTGACTGAACTAAATCCTCCAAGCCTCATTAAATCACGCTTTAGCACCACATTGTTCGGCCGTTGCCGTTCCCAGTGTTGTATGTCAAACCTGTCCCCTCACCGTCTCGGATAATAAAATGTTTTATGGTTTTGCCGGAAGATTGCTCCGCGTCCCCTTTATTTTGAAAATGGCACATAATAAATATCCCCCACAGAGGAGAGACTGATTTGATGGAAAACACTGCACTAGCAGGGCCAAAAGCAATCAGCCTCACCCGGAAAAGACAGCACAGCTGGTGGGATGCTGGAACTGTGTCCTTTGCGAATGTTTCCTCCGCCATTCATGAAAAGCACAGCCCGCAGGGTGTGGCTCCGTGCCTCCAGGGAAGTGACACGGCCAGTTCAGCCAGTTGGCTCCGTCAAAGGTCAATCACAAGCAGGCTACAATGACCACCCCTAGATTCAGTCAAAGATGCCTCACAGAACGAAGACATAGACTCGTGAATGGCGTGTTAAAGAAGGGTTCGGGAAAGTCACCAGGAAAGTCAGGCAGGGCATTGTGATTCCAGACACATCTGTACCTTCCCTCTGAAGGCTAATCGGACCAGTGCCATCATTTCATTGTCTGTTAGTGAAACTGCCGTTCCCTCTCAACCAGTCTAATTTAGCTCATAAAGGAGAAACTTATCTCTAATCAAGAACATATGGAATCCTGACTCAAGCTCCGTCTGATATTTTGATAGCCCAATTCAATTATTTTAATAATACATAGGCTTGAGTTTTAATCCGACCTAGTTCAGTCGACTTTTCAAAGATGAAACGTTGATGCCTTTTTTGTAAAAATTAGCATTCGGCTTTGGTCGTAAGTTACTAAATTGGTGTGATGGATTCCACTCTGGCTTTGGAGCTTTAGTTAAGTGCTTTGCTACAGTCGGACTCATCATCGTGGATCTCACCATGCCTGTGAATTCCATGCTCAACAGTATGATCACTGCCAGCATGTATGTTCTGTATATCATGTAGCCCAGAGTTGGGAAGCGCGCGCGCGCACACACACACACACACACACACACACACTTGTATTAATCATCCCTTTTTCTTTCTGACAGTTGTTTGGAACTGTAAGGCCACTCTTTAGATAACTTGGAAGTATCCAGGTGATCCAGAGAACTAGTTTGCTTCCTAGCAGAGAATGCAAACATCAGCCATCTTCAAAGGGTGAGGTGATATGTCTCCCCATGGTCACAAATGGCTACCTTTAATCAATGACACCATCTTTTAAGGAAAGAAATGAGTCAAATTTGTCTTGTAAGTAAGAGATAATTCATTAATGAGGTTATTGCTCTTCCCAACCAGGACATTAGCCAGCAACTGGCGAAAAGTGGGCTCTTCTACCAAGGTCCTATCAATCTAACAAAGACAAGTGTTTCTCTATCATGAGTCTCATCTCTCTCTAACTTCAGAAACTTTCTCTGAAGTGACAGAGCTTTGTCATAACTAGAGCCCTGAAGGGCAACCCATTGGAGAAGACACAGCCATTACTTTCTCAAGAGGCCGGTACCATATAGGTGGGTCATTTGTAGCCAACTGTTGGTAACACCGACTAAAACAACAGCTAGTCACTACCTCCAAGAGGAAATCAACACATCTCTGAAAGCTTTCTAGACTTGGGAGGTTAGAAAATAACCAGTTGAATTTGCATAATTCTTAGAATCTTCCCTAGAATAAGAAATCTCAAGAATGAAGCTTGGAAGTTCCAGAAGGTTCCAGAAGCCTTACAAGCTTTCGTTTTGCCACTTCCACAGCATTCAGTGGATAGATAAGGGTTATGGAGTGATTTGGATATGTGGTTTCTTGTAACTATATTTGTTCATTTATAAATTATATGCATATATAGCTACATTAGTATACCAGATATAGTCTTAATTTGTGAAAAATAAATGTTTACTTACACATAAAATGGGCATTTTATAAGAATAAAATGAAACATGAATACATAAATCTCTTGTTTCTCAAGACAAACTAGCTATCTTAATCAACCCTTTCAGGTGTAAACAAATATGCTAGCTACATAGATTTTGTTTTAGTCTATGTAAATGTGAGAATGAACCAGCAAGAAAGTAATGAAATTTCAGAGGCCAAAAACTAAATGAAGATCGATCCTGGGAAGTTCAGTGGAGCATGGAGGAAATTTAAGGGCATTTGCTTAATCTGATAAATTTAAGCTTCACAGCCTGGTGAACTGAAGGGAACAGGAAATAAGGACCATGGCCTCTCCAAGCAGTGTCAGACCTGAGATTCCTCCTGGGAAGCTACACTTCCACACTGGATAAAATAGGAGTAAATTCACACCTTCCCTGAGGAATTGGTTAAAAGCTGCACTATTTTACATCTTGACTAAAGTAGAAACATCCCTTCAGAGTTTGTAGTCCATAGATTACCCTCATGTTGCTTTTCAGCCCATAGTTACTGTCCCTTGGGCCAGAACCTGACTCTACAGTGGTCCTCAGCAGGTAGAATTCCCGAAGGAACAAACACAAGATATTCTCTTCAACTCAAGTCTTAAGAATGCCATGTGATAAATACATTCCAGGAAACAGGATCTTGTGACAATAAACAAAAACAAAGATCACAAAACAGGTTGCCATGTTTGCTCTCCATGTTATCAACGGGGCCCATCCCAGAACAAAGACTCAGACCACCGAAGAAAAATACACAACAAAGACATGCGAGTCAAACTACACGAGAACCCATGTTGCCTCAATCAGAAAGACAGTCGTTAAAGAAAGAAATGGTAACAAATGCTAACGAGAAGTGGACAAGGGAGCCCTCATACCTGCCACTGGACAGAACAGAAATGAGTCCAGCCAGTATGGAAGTCAATATGGAACTTCTTCAAAGACTAAAATGGAACTCCCATGGGACGCAGATGTGGCACAGCTGAATATTTAACACAAAAGGTCAACATGGCACAGGATACCTAAACAACAGTTCCCATTGCAGGACCATTCACAGTGTATAAGTTATGGAAACAACCTAGGTATCCAACAGCAGAGGGATGGATAAAATAAATGTGGTGCCATAGGCATTGGAATTTTATCAGCCATAAGAAAGAATAGAGCAATGCCATTTGCAAGAAAATAGAGACATATAAAGATAATTGTAGTAAGATAGCTAAGGTAGTCTCAGAAAAAAGAATATGTTTTATCTCATTTCTAACTCTAGCTTTTATGTAGATTCATAAAATCATGTGTGTTTATATGGCATGAAAGTAGAGGTGAAACTGTCTGGGAAGTGATGGGGATTGAAGAGAGGGAGGCAGGACTACAAGGAAAAATATGTTCCCTAGACAATACGTGCTTTATAAAAAAATTAATAATTCTTGAAACCCCATACATATATGATTTTTTAAATGAAAGAAAATACATGTTGGATATAGGGAAATAAATGGCCAAACCTATTTGTCATGAAAAAAATATGAAATTAAAATCCAACAGATGAATTCAGTAACAGATTGGGTCTGGCTAATGATACTAGTAGTGATAAAAATTTGCAGAACTTCAGACCTAGAAGGACAAAAACTGAAAAGTGCTTAAGAGACAGGGTAAGCAGAATGAAGTGGGCTCTTGTATTAAATTAAGGCTGCAAAAGGGGAAGGGAGAAGTTGGGGAAGAGGTAATCACCAAGGTAAATGGTAGGTAGCTCAGACTCAGGACCTCTGAAGAATCGAAGCAGCAGAATTTTTAAAGATTTATATTATTCGTGTGAGTGTGTGTGAGTGTGTGTGGTGTGTGTGTATGTGTGTGTCTGTGTGTGTGCAAGCACCCTCGAAGAAGTCATCAGATGCCCTGGAACTGGGGTTACATGCAGTCATGAGTCCCCAGGTGTGACTGCTGAGAACAGAACGTCGGTCCTCTGCAGAGGTAACAAATGCTCGTAACTGCTGAGCCATCTCTCCAACCTCCAAACCAGCAGAATTCTTTTAAAAGAAAAACTCAGGCCTAGATACATAATAGTGAAACTGCAGAACAGCACAAAAATAAGACATGCAAGAATACACACACTGCTCATGGAGGAGGGACAATTAGACAGCTGAGTGCTCATGGCAACCAGAGAACAGGAGCGCATCGCAGTGCACTGAAAGGGAATGACCTAGAACTGGACGATGTCCCTCAACAAACTCTAAAATAAAATCTGCAGGGTGAAATTCAATCTGGGAAATAAATGTTCCTCAAATTATCTGATGAAGAAAAGATGATAAGGAGAGGAAATAGTACACACAGGGTCAACTCTATGCATGTATTTATCATGTATCATGTGACACCCACGAAAGCAGGGCTGAAGAGATGTTGCATCAGTTGGGAGTACTTACAGCAGAAGAGCTGATACACTCCCAGTTGGTTCACAACTGCCTGCAACTCCAACTCTGGGAAATCTGGTGCCTCTGGCCTCCTCAGGCTCCTACACTCGTATGTACAAACCTTGATACAGGCACAAAGAGACACATATTAATAAATAATACTAAGAATCTTTTTAAGTATATAAAACATAAATTATTTTCTTCATGGTATAATAAAAGATGTAGCCCAATTCCTTGATACCATACAACACTTCAGTCTTTGGTTCCCTTCTCTGTGGCACTAAGATCGAATCCATGCTAGGCAAGTGCTGTACCACTGAGCTTCAACCCTTCTTTGGCTTCTTTTCTCAAAATATTATGGGTGAAATATGAGAGGCTAAGGAATAATTTATATAGAATAACACATGCACATAATTTTAAATATCCAGTGATACAAATTTTGACAATTGTGTATAGGCATAACTACCACCTAAAAAAAATATATTTCTTTTCTTCACTTCAGAAAATCCCCTAGTGGCTCTTCCTGACCATATGGCTTCCCTGGAGAAAACCACAGCTCTGATTTTTATAATCTTAGTTTTGTATGTCTGTTCCTAAACTTCAAGTAAATGTAGTGATATGACCTATTCTTCCTGAGTCCAGTTGCTTGACATAATATTCTTGAGATTCATCTGTGTAACATTATAGTATTTACCTATAAAAATAACTTGATGTTTTTTTCTAGCTTGGAATTGTTACTAGTAATACAACTATGAGCATTGTTATACAAAATTTTTGGAGAAATACATTTTATTTCTGTGGGTAAAAACACAGAAATAGTATTTTTTGGGTTGTGGTGTCAGTGTAAATTCATAAAAATATAACTGCCAGGACTTTTTCAAAAATATAATTACACATTTATATTTCCACCAAGCTGAAATTTTGACACTCCAATAACTGACATAGACAACTTCTCTTATTTCCAACACTTTTGATAAAAGACAATATTCGCAGACTACTAATATGTTCATATTCACAGTTCCCCATGACTAACAATATAGAGAATATTTTCACATGCATATTAGCTATTTGCATGTTTTCTCTTTTGAAAACTCTGTTCAAATGCTTTGTCCATTTTTAAATACACCATACGTGTGTGTGTGTGTGTGTGTGTGTGTGTGTGTGTGTGTGTGTGTAGGTATGGGTGCATGTAGAAGTCAGAAGACTTCCAGGAATAAGTTCTCTCCTTCCACCATGTGGGTCCGAGGATGGAACTCTGTGATCAAACTCTGGTCCTCAAACTTGGTGGCAAATGCCTTTACCCACCTCACTGGCCCTGCTTTGTCGATTTTTATGGTGTTGTTTTTCTTTGTACTGTTTATTTCTAAGAATTCTTCGTGTATTCTGAATATGACAGCTTTGTCAGACATGAGCAGTCAGATGAGTAAAAATGTTTCATTTCAATAATCTGTCTTCCCAAAATTAACCTGTAAATTAAACACAACCCTAATCAAGATACCATTCAGACTTACTGAGACCATTGACAAACTTAATCAAAAATTTACGTGAAACAATAAATGTTTATGCACAGTTAACTTGGCCTTGAGGAAGAGGTGCAGCATCTAAAAACAGGACTTAGGGCATTATTCAAAAAATAATATGTTTTGTTCGAGAAACAGACAAATTTATAGATATATATATGAATCTATTATGCAGTAAAAATGGCATAAAGATCAATGGGTAAGAACAGACGGCTTAGCAGACACTGTTAAGAAAGTTGTCTTGCATCAAAAAGGAACATAAACCAAACTCCCCCTCACACTTCACACAAAGACAGTCTCTGAGGGAATAAGGAACACAAACATAAAGGGGAAGAGGACAAGTTTCTAGGAACAAATACAGATTTTCTTTATAATGTGGTCTTGGAAAGGACTTTTCAAAACTTCAGAGGTATAAATCATTAGCCATAACAATGGAAGCTAAGTGCATTAAATGTAAGGATTTCTACTCAGCAAAATTCATCATGATAAAAGATGCACAAACGCCCAGCAAAATCGGAGAACATATTTACAATCTAAATCATACAAAAGACCAAGGTAACTAAGAAATGCTTTCAAGTCAACCATAATAGAGGGGTTTTGTTGTTGTTTTGTTTTGTTTTTAAATCAGGAATGTGTGTGAATAGCCCTACAAAAGAATACTCACAACAGGCAGTACACACATAGGAAAATACACCAATAACCAGACAACACAAGCACAAGTAAGAACACATATCATGTTATAGTTATTGAACTACTAAGGGGGAAGGGAAAATAATCCAAGTAGAGATATGAATGTGCACATAGGAACCACTCTTCGATGCCAGATCATGCTACTTACTCACAGTGAGACACAGAATTTATGGCCCAGAAATCCTGCTTCTGATTAGGTGTGCCTCCACAGATGCATAGGGTGCCTATTATAACATGTTCTAGAAAACAAGGATTGGGGAAATTTGGTGATTCATCATTAGAAGGGTAAATACAATATAGAATGCTAGCAAAACTAAGACTGGACTTTTGATAAAAGACAATATTGGCAGACTACTAATATGTCAAGAGAAAAGACACAGACATGTGTTCTCAGGAATTAAAAAGTTACATATAATTGCATGTAGTAAAGTTTAGAATAAGACTATCACAAATAGGTCTAAGACAAAATTGAGAACTTAAAGTAAAGAATTTTTCTTTTCTACCAGTTCAGTGTATCAGATCTTATCATTTTGGAGTTGAGTTTTGTTCAAAAGTGAGAGATAGGGATAGAATTTCATTCTTCTATATAGCTACCCAGTTTGACCTGCACCATTTGTTGAATATGGCTGTCTTTCCTTCCATGTGTATTGTTGGGCTCTTTATCAAAAATTAGACCCTATAGGCAGTCATTAAAATTAACAGTTTGAGTGGAGAGTTAAGAGCACTGACTATTCTCCCAGAGACCCTGAATTTGACTCCCAGAATCCACATGATTGCTTACAGTTGTCTGTAACTTCAGTTCCCAGGGATGCAATGCCCTCATCTAGACTTCTCAAGCACTAGGCACGCATGTGGTACACACACACATACTGTCAAGACATCTATACACATAAATAATAAAATATTTTTAAAGAGTTTAACAGTTAACAAATGGAATCTCATGGAATTAAAAAGTTTCTGGACAGGAAAGAATGCCACCACCCTAGTGAGAGGAAGAACAGAAAATGAAAAAGAAATTCTCTCCTAGTTATACATCTGACAAAGGGTTACTATCTAAAATATACAAAGAACTCAAAAAAGTAAACATCAAGAAAATGAGCAATCCAATTTTACAAATGGATAATGAAACTAAACAGAGCATTCCCAAGACAAAATGTGAACAGCTGAGAAACATTTTAAACAAATGTTCAACATCCTTAACCATCGGGGAGACAGCTGAAGTTTCTTGGTTAAGACAGGAGGAGCCAGTTCCACTGAAGATACTCATCTCTGGTAGAAGAATATGTTTGCTGCTTTGGACACAATTTGGTCTTCAGGTGCATTGAAGACATCACTGTCATCAAAATGATACCCTTTTCCAACATCTTTGTCTGTTGTAAAGTCAGTATGATGTATTCTACCCATCCTTCCATAGCAGTTGGAAACAGCAAGCAAATTATAGAAGCTAGAGTTTGTATTGAATTAATTAGGAATTCTGATACATCCAAGTCATTGATGGGGAAAAGTCAATGAAAGTATCTAATTATCTCTCAGGTATTGACTTTAAGAAAAGTTTGAGATGTACCACAAGTACTGGAGACAGGAACCATAAATCTAATTTCTCTGTGGTTTTTCTGATGGACAATCCCAGCCATCTTCAGCACCTGGTCTTTCCTTTCTTGTAAAAAGCTAAATGTAATCTTTTAATTTAACAAATGATTTCATTTGGGGAAGATATTTCACACTTCTGTGTTTTACACAACCCTCATCAGCATCTTCAATAAAATATTTCATTTCCAAATCAAGATCCCAGTCCGAAGACAGAAAAGAAACACTGTAGGCACTCTAGTTGATGAAGCCCCTAGAAGCCATAGTAGAGCAACTTTCTATTGTTAATGTCTAGAAATGAAGTTATCCACCACATGAAAACGAAAGTCTGAGATGAGGCGTTTCACATAGCCCAACATAGATCCCTCATGAGACTTCAACTTGTGAGGACTTGAAGTGAAACACAATGGAAACTTTAACAGAAATAGTCTCTTAATACATTTACAGTCTTGTATTTACAAGCTAATATCTAAGAGGTCACAGGTAAATCCCTTTTAAGTTCTAAAAATAAAACAAAAAAACTGCTTTGAGATTTCTTCATATCCCACTCAAAATGGCTAAGATCTGAAAATCAAATGATGACAAATGCTGGCACGGATGCAGAGAAAGAGGAACACTTATTCACTGCTGTTGGGAGTGTAGATTTGTGTAGCCACCATGGAACTCAGTGTGAAGGTTCCTCAAAAGGATGAAAGCAGATCTGTCACATGAGCCAGCCATGCCAATCTGGGGCATATACCTAGAGGACTCTATATCCCACTACAGAGATATCTGACTTATCCGTGTTTGTTGTTGCTGTATTCACAATAGCATGGAACTTGAAACAGCCTATATGTTCACCAACTGATGAATGGATAATGAAAATGTGGTATATTTGCACAATGGAATATTATTCAGCACCTAAGAAAAATAAAATTATGACATTCACAGGTAAATTGATGCAGCTTGAAGCAATTATTCTGAGTGAGTTAATTCAGCCTCAGAAAGGTGAATGTTTCATATTCTCTCTCATTGGTGAATGTTCCTCTCTGAACCTTTGAATCAAATATTTCATTTGGAATAACCCTAGAGGTCAGGAAACTAATAAGGAACCATGGGGAGTCCTTTTCGAGTAACGGAAGATAGAATGCATTGGTATAAAGGGTTAAAGGTGATAATGGAACAGAAAAGGTTAAATTAGAGTGGAGGAGGGAATAGCAAGGTAGAGGAGAACATATGGGGAGGGACAGATAACACTAAAGATCTTTTTTTAAGTCATATAGAAAATATTACAATAGAAACTTACATACATACAGAGAGAGAGAGACAGAGACAGAGAGAGAGAGAGTTTTCAAGTGGAGTTTCTCTATAGTGGGGCAACAATGCCCCTACTAGACCAAAGAAGTAACAAATAAAAAGCCTAGTGCCAGGAATAAGTGACTTATTTTGGAGTCCTTGGCCAGTAAGATCCTGAAGACCCACAAACATTACATGTTATTGACAATGATTTTGGTTACTGTGCTGTATACTTTTATGTCAACTTACACAAACTAGAGTTATCTGGAAGGAGGGAAAATCAATTGAGAAAATGCTTCCAGAAGACTGGGTTGTAAAGCATTTTCTTGTTAATGACTAATGGGGGAGGGCCCAGACTATTGGGGGTGGGGCCATGCCTGGGCTGGTGATCCTGGGTTCTATAAGAAATCAGGCTAAGCATGCTATGGGGATCAAGCCAGTAGAACTTTTCTGTGGCCTCTGCATCAGTTCCTACCTCCAGGTTCCTTCCCTGTGTGAGTTTCTTCCCTCACTGTTATGTGGAACTGTGAGTGAAATAAACCATTTCCTTCCCAAGTTGCTTTGGTCAAGGTATTTCATTGCAGCAATGGGACAATTACCTTCCCAAACTTGATACTAAGACTCTGTTACTATGGACACCAGATACTTGACTCGTGGAGAAAGGGATTCTTCAAGATGGTACTGGCCTGGAAGAGTCATTCCCACTTTCTAGATTTCATACTGCTGGAAGGAGTTATGAATGATAGCAAAGGAGAAAAGTAAGCATCACTATTACATAGCTATAAGCCTTTTGTGCTACAATAATGAGTAGCCTGGCAAGACATGCCCACTGGTGCAACAGAGACATGAGCATTAGAGAAGTAACCAACCACTTCCTGATTGGGTGTATGTCTTGCTCCACAAGAGCAGTACCTGGCACTGTTACAGAGATAAGAACCTATAGCTAGACAGGTCACAGTTGAGGAAAACCCATTACTGTTATTTTGCTAAATGGACACAGCGATCTCCTTATGGCTTACTGTTACGCCTGTAGATTAGTATATGTCACTACTTTTATCAGAAAAGCTTCTATTTGCAGTAAATACTGGGTGATGAAAATACCCACAACTGTCCAAGGCCCCTGCCTTAGTCACATTCCTATTGCTGTGACAAAACACCATAACTAAAAGCAACTTGGGGAGGAAATGATTTATTTGAGCTTAAAACTCTCAGGTCATTCTTCATCACTGGGGAGAATGAAGCAGGAATTCAAAGCAGGAATGGAGAGGCAAGAACTGAAGCAGAGGCTATGGAGGAATGCCGCTTACTGGCTTGACTTGCTCCTCTTGGCTTGCTCAACATCATTTCTTACACAAGCCAAGACCATTTTTTCAGACTTGGCACTACCCACAATGGACTGGGTCCTTTCACATCAATCATTAATCAAGAAATCACTCAACCAATTACTCATATATCAAGTTAAATAAAAATAACATCACAGAAAACAAGAGGTAGCAGAATACTCATCCCTAAATGGAATATATATACCACACCCTTTTCCCCAAAGGTTTAAGGATCATTGTGGTAGAGGAAGTGAAAGGAGTTAAGAGCCAGAAGCCATGGATGACTGCAGTGAAACGGTGTCTTTGGATACAATCGAGTAGTTTTACATATGAACTCTCAGAAACTGACAGCATACACAAGATCTGTGCAAGTCCACTGTGGAAAATGGGTTTGAGTACAAAATCCTATACCTAGATGTATGCTAATGGCAATTGTTGGTTATTGGGAGAGAAGGAGTCAGTTTTCTCTAAGGATATTGCCCCTGGTAAGTCAACCACATTCCAGAGAAAAACCAGACATCTAAGAACATTTGGGTAGCACAAACTGGTCTTCACATTTTGTTGTTTGTTTTGTTTTTGAAGAGGAGTATACATAAAATTGGATTGATAAGAAAGGGGGTGGATCTGGGAAAACTTGGGGTGAATATAATCAAAATACATTATATATGATTCTAGAAAGAATAAATTTTTAAAACTTGTAACCGAAAGTTTCAAATATCTCCATGCAAAAAACCACAAATAATTTATTCAATAAACTATACAAACATTCAAGGAATAATAATTTCAATCTTTTAAAAGTCTACTCCAGAATAGAGCAAAAAACAGAATATTTCTTCATTCAATTCAATTTATTGGTTTGGCAGCACAACCTTATTTCTAAAGCTGGAAAAGACAATTACAGAAAAGAAAATTATGTATACAATCTCATCCATGAACACAGATGCAAAATCACTAAGTAAAATATCATCAAACCAAATCTAACAATCTATTAAAATGTCATGAACAACTCGAATTCATAACAGGATTAACAGTCAGCTTAACATTAGGAAATC